TAATATAATATAATATAATATAAAGTGTTGTCAGACGATCTCCCGGACACGGCTCGTCGACATGCTGTAGTTTGTCCCTCTTGCGATGCATCGAGCCAAGTTGTTTGTAGTGAGACTGTCCGGTTTGCAGTTTGGCTTCGAGCCAGATGCACATCGTCACAGGTAAACTGTGGAAAAACGGCTGCCAGGAAGCTGCCCTATCACCCGCATGGGGCTCACTGTCGCCCTTCTGGTTTCTTTTTCGTGTGGACAATTTCTCTACTTGTAAGGCCCCAGTTATGAGATGTATTCTGGCCGAACGGGCGAAAGCTCACGAGGAAACCAAGCATTCAGCGGCCACCTGATCAGTGGCACGAACAAACGCATCTATGTTCCCTACATCCCACTGTGAATGGCCACCGTCTGTGAGTAACAACTCAGCACTGGGACCGACTGCCCTTGCAAGGTCCTCTGCATTGACTGCTGGACATATGCAATCGTTCTGGCCGTGGACGAGCTTCAACGGAAAAGCAAAGGCCGCAGCTGAGTCAAGCAACTCACTGCCTTCAGGAAAGAATCCTCGCTCGGCAACGTAATGCAGCGTAAGCAAGGCCTGTACATTGAACTTACCTGGCTTTGGCCACGGCTTTGCCGGTACTTTCGCTTCGGGTAGGTCTGACGACAACTTTGAAGGCTGCAGCTTCAAATTCTTGGCCCGCTGTGCAAACAGATGGTTCTCCCAAGCTCGCCACTTTGACAGGGCATCGGTCGGTGAGACCGACCTCAGTTTGCTTGCACATGCTTGCAGTCTAGTGCGGCCGCGCTTACTAGGGGTTGCCCACGGCGAAACAAGTCGAACAGCGATTCACCTCTTGCCTGACTCCCTCCTACCATGCCTCCATGCAGCTTCCTTGAAACGATAAGCGAGCATTCTTACTCTTCCACCAGACCCCATGCATAAGCGCAGTTTTTGGAGATTGTAGCAAAACCGACATGTCTAAAGGCAAGCCGCCGAACACGATGCATAACCGAGGCATAACCATCACAAATCAACAGTACTAAATCTTTGCACAAGCGAAAGTGCACATAGATCGAACAATCAGTCAATGCTTCCACATGTTACGTACACCATGTTGTGAAGGAAGGTACGACGCCGCATAACAAAATCCAAACTCTGGACTAGTGACTAGGTATGTCAGAATCTTGAAGTCTTGCGGACAGCACTTGATCCGCCCCTTTACCAGTTTCATTCATGACGCCTGACAACCGCTTCCAAGCTCAATCAAGATGCGCATCCTCGCCCAGGGCAGCTCGACGAAATGCGGCCGCAATGGCACGGGCAGAGCGTGTCTCTGCCCATGGAAGCCATCCAGCAAAACTGTCCCAAGCACCCCGTGCCAAAGATCTTGCACCGCCTTTCGGACCGCAGAAGTACTCAAGCTCCTCGTTGCGGAAGAGGAAAACCTCAGATTTCCGAAACGAATGCTACATAGCATGCAACAATTTAATGCGTGATTGTGGCATTCCCTGAACTTCATCGGCGAGGAGCAGCACGCAGTACCATGCCAAGGACACAGGCAGGATGTTTGGAGGCATATGCGAGGGCGAGGCAAGTTCCCCAAGAACCTCCACACACCACCCAGCGGTCGATCTTCAAATGAGCCCTTAGAACCTCGAGATCCTCGACTAGATGCCAAGTTGTGTTGCCCTCAAGCTGATCCTCTGCATTGGCCGAGTCCTTGCGTGAACTCTTGCCACAACCTCGCTGGTCGAAGAGGATCACCCGATACTTCTCCGGGTCGAATAGCTGTGCCATGCGACGAGAGCAGCCAGCACCGGGGCCCCCATGCAAAAACACCACTGGTATCCCATCGGGGCTGCCATGCTCCTCGTAGTACAGGTCGAAGCCGTCACCTACCGGGAGCGTTCCGGTGCTTAGTACCGGCCCGGCAGAGTGTAGTCCACGCCTGGCTCCTGTCCGCGATGTCTTGCCACGGGATGCTTCCACGAGCGCGACGCGTCTCCGTGGCTTGGCTTGAGCCTGGGGCCGTCTTCCCGATCTGGACAATGCACCTTTGCTCACTGCCAGCGCGGTACATGCAGTCAGTGACGAGAGGGCAGGCAGGAACGGCCAGCGCAATCTGGGAACATCACACCGGGAGGGTTCAATCCATCGCACTCCCGGCGAGCCAGTTCGGCTCGCGGCGGGGCGACTTACGGGGACCACAGCGAATGCTTTCATCTCTTGAGCCACAGTACCACTTGCAGCGGTGTTGCCAACTTCCAACAAATCACTTCCTACAGTCGGGGCCGCGGCAGCTTACGAGAAAGTCTGACCAACTAGTTTCTCGCTGAGGCTCCACAGCCTGGCACCAGCAGTTGCACGGTGCCCTGTACTGCCCAACATATGAGCGGTCTGTCTCCAACCCTCACGGCTCACGTCAAACAAAGCAGACGGAGAAGGTGAGAGCCTCCTACACCTCTCTTCATCGGCAGCTTGTCCACCAATTTCGTTCTCCTTCAGAGTCCGGAAACTGCCGTACCTTCAGGCAAGTTTATTCAACACCTTGCCACAGTGTGCAGTCATCATGCTTAGTGACTTAGTGGGCACTGCAGGAACTTGTCGTTGCTGGCGCCCACATTCTCCACCGCATCGGTTCCTCCTGCTCCACCGGTTCCAGACCTGAAGCACATTATGTGAATAGAGGGCCCACAGCACCGCTGCAAATACGAGAGTGCCGGCAGACAAGCAAGCACCAAAAGCGATTCAAGCTTATCGCTTCTCAGTTTGAGATGTTGGCTCGCCACCCCAGCTGAAGTATACACCTGCAGCGGCACGAAGATTGGCAATGGGACGAATCAAGCTGATTGGAGCTGCTCAAAGATTGCTCAAGCGAGGCAGTCTGTTCACTATGGCCTCAAAATGCCTCAAAAGACTTTTTCGGCCAACCGCGAATCTTGTTCTAGCGGGGTCTGTGACCCCCGACTCCAAGATTCTCCACTCCCCGCCAGCAGACCGCCCTACGAGTCGGCCCTACGAGTACGAGCCCCCCTGGCATGAAGTACGCATGTGCAAGCGACTTGGGCACGGAGCAGGCCTGACTGAGCGTAGGCAGGGTCGGCCACACACTTCGCCAACCTTCTTCCTGCTTCCTCTTCGCTGACATACCTGGACGCGGGACAGAAGCAAACACGTCTGGGTTAACCTACTTCCCAAGGGCACGCGTTGGTCACCTCCTTCTGCAGGATGGGAAACAAAAACCTCCGAGGAACAGCAGGAACGACAGACTTGCAACTACTTCGAAAAATGGGAACATTTGGTGGCCAACGCTCGGCAAGAGTGAAGGTCTCTCTATACCGACCTGAAAACCGGATAGTGCTCTCGGAAGAGATTGGTCTCAGCGATGCAACCTGCATCCAATTGTGCTGCAAACGTCTGCTCCAAAGTAGTCTGCTTATGGCTCAGAGACAGGACGAGCCTGCCTGGGTAGAGAGAGGCAAAGCACACACCGGTCTTGTCGTGAAACCTCTTGTGGAGCTCCCTCATCAACATGACATCACAAACCTGCATGGGGGTGTTGCTGCTCTGTTCTTCTCGCCATCCCTTATTTCCAGCCGCCTTGCTGTCCTTGTACGCCTTGGCTCCGTTGAAACGTCCGCCGTCAATCATTGTGACCTGGGCCAGCCGAAGCCACTAAAGCTCTGCCTGCTCTTCGTCGGCCGCAGCATCATCAAACGTGTGAGGTGCACCGGCTTCTTCATTCCAGACTCTAGGCCTCACCAGGTGCGCTCTCACGCAGCAGACAATTGTCTAAGTGTCAAAGTCGCTTCCCAAACGGCCGATCTAAACCAGGGACCCCAAACCCTCTTGGCAAAACCAACCATAACCTATGGTCGGTCTTGCAGGGATCCCAGTTTCCGCAAGACCGTGCCTTCAAGCCCACCTAGGTCCGCGACAGGTGGGATCATGCCACCGACCTGGAGACCGCATGGGCTGACTGGAGTCTGGAGGCTTTGGAATCCTGCCTCCTTGTCGTTGATGCTGGCAGTCACAGTCCCCAAGATGATGCAACGCGCCGGCTTCATCGTGCTCTTTTGCAGGTCTCCAGGCACGACGAGCATGCAGTAATTGATTCAGCTGTCCATACGAGGTCGCATGAGCACCCTGCCTTCAAGCAAGAGATTGCACAGGAGGAAGTGGCCTTTTTACGGCCAGGTTGGTCATTCCAATGTTGTTCAGTCGTGCGCAAGCAAACCCCATGAGCCGTCTGCCCAAGTAGTTTGATGCAAAACTCAATTCGTGGCCGTCTGCCGACCATCTTGGACCACCCCCTGGCGATGCGGTCTCAACAGACTTCTAGACACCCAGCTAGCATGGGCCTGGGAAGAGTCCCGGGAAGAAGGCTCCCTGTCCGCAAACAAGGGTTCTCAAGAGCACCACAGCATAACGCTGCGTTTTGCCTCTTTGTGAGCATTTGGGAAGTAGATTGCAGCGTTGCAGACCAGCGCATCAAGCCTGAGAGATTGACGCTGTCGTCAAGTCGCTCATGTTCGATTCTCACGGGGAGCCCTCGTACCGCGCCCGAGAGCCTCGCGGGATATTCAAAGTTCGGAATGTGCGGACAAACTGGCGGACCTCCAACGGCGGTGACTGACTCGAGAAACGATGCTCAGAAACCCCCAGATGCAACTGTGCCGGGCTAGCGCTGTTGTTCGCCGCAAGGTCAAGGTGCTGTACAATGTAGCTGTCCTAACACTTGTTGGAAAGGCACAGCATCGTGATAGGTCCTGAGCACTCTTCTTCGCACAACGACGGAACCTCCGGAAAGTCGTTCTCTTTGGCAACACGCTCTGCCTGTAGCTTTGCGGAAATGGTTAGTAAATAGGTCCCGACAAGCAGGCACGAGCATGCACAAGCAATTACAACCATGTCGCCTTGACCCCTGTTGCAAGCACTCGTAAGCTCCACCAGCCTTGACGTAGTCACGGCAAGCCATGATGACTCGCCTGTTGTGGTGAGTTGGCTGCCAGATGGAAGCAACAGCTTCTCTTCTTCCCCCGAGGAGGCGGCCACTCTCCGCTCATGACAAGCTCTTTCGCAGTGGCGAGTCCCAGCCCTGAGGTTGCTGACGTCACAACACGTGGCTGAGCTCAAAATGCCTTCAGGGGATCAGGCCTGAGGAAGCGCCGGTGATAATTACGGTCTTCTTGGAAGGCTGCGATGCGAACTCAGCGGGAAACTGTTGCATCTTGCAAGGTACGGGGCAAGTTGTTGCAAATGCACGCATACATGAACTGAGCCAAAAGCATCAAAAAAAGCCCGTCTTCCAACAGTAGATCGCCGAAATGCAGGGACTCTCCTGTGCACTACATGCACGACTTGCTTGAGGCCATGCTATTGCTTCAGCACCGTTCACATGGAATGCAAACAGGCAGAGGCACAGGTCAGATCCATCTTTCTCAGTGATAATCAACATGCAATCAGCCCATCCAGCAGTTTCGCAACTGCACTGGCAAATGTGTCGGCAGTGATAAATGGATTGTCACTATGCAAAGCGACCACTGCAAGTGTGCAACCAGAGTGAAGACACAGCTGTTTCGGGCAGCAGCTGACTCAAACGGAACGATGAGAGAGGCGATGATAGCACAAACGGAATGTCGATGACTTGCCAAACAGCACCAAGGGGGGCAGTGCGGCAGGGCGCAGCCGGCCTAAAGCTCGAATCCGGTCGTACCATGATCCCGATTCTGGAGGAAGAGGAGGAAGAGGAAGAGGAGGAAGAGGAGGAGAATATGCCCACAGACTTTACTGCGGCCATCAACCCAGAGCGGCTGCGTACGTCTGGGTAGTCGTCATAGCCGCTCTCCGCGAGGGGTTCGAGAGGGCATGTACCTAATGCGGCGCGAAACGGCGGTGGAAGGCGAAAGGCCTGTGGAAGTTGCGGAAGATGGCAACAACCCACACCCCGATTTCGGAGCGAGGGAACGGGTCTTGGATTACTGCAAAACTCCGCAAGTGCGGAAGATGGCAGCGACCCAGACCACATGGGGCATGGAATTCGAAACACCTACGGAGTTGCGGGACGGCAACAAACCAGACCCCAATCTCGGGGCCGGGGGGTCTGGGATTGCAGCAAGAACCCGAATCTTGGTGCGAGACGGGAGGTCTGGGAATGTTTGGCATTACAGCAAGACCCCTGTGACGGGGAATTGGAAGCGGAAAACCTACGGAAGTTTCGGAAGATGGCAACAACCCAAACCCCTACAGCAAGAACTCCGCAACGGAGAATGGTAGGCACAAGACATCACAAGACCTACGGATCTAGCGGAAGAGTCCAATAAGCCAAGCCCCAATCTCGGTGCGAGAGGGGCAAGAACCCTGCACGGGGCATGGAAAGCGAAAGACGTACGGGAGTTGCGGAAGATGGCAACAACCCTAAAACCGGGCCGATTATGCGGCCTCGATTGTGCTCACGATCAATGGTCTGTCTATTTGCCTTGCCAGGTACGACATAGCACAAGATGTTGTCGTTGAATGGGGCATGCATTTTTACCAACAGCAACGTCCATGCAGCGACTTGCCACGGTCAGGCAGCGAACATGTGGTAAATCTATGCAGGCTGCACTGGCCGACTTCAAGCATCTCTTGGTTGGCAGCCATAAGTAGCTGTTCTTTGAAGAATTGTATACAGCAGTGTACCTCCGCATCTCTCTGGACCCGGAAGAGGAACGGCGAACAATGGAGCAGTTGCTGCACTGGCTGTTCCTGATGGATCCGGGCTTCGTGGATCCTGCAGCGGTGCATCCCAACCTTTTCAGATGCTAACTGTCTCGTGAAGTGGTCGGCGAACCACTCCTGCCTCTTAAAGTGTTGCCCCCTGTGTGCCGCGGTACGGCCACAACTACCTCTAGAGTTTCACCACTCGAAAGATTTGGAGCCGTTCTTCGGCCCCATGTTTCTGCAGCTCCTGGGAGCCTCCAGTGCGCTTGAGCTGTGCTGCTTGTGGTCTAGCAAGCTACGACTCCTGCAAGCAAGGGCTCTGCTGAACCGTGTAGTGTAGTTGTTGTTGCCTAACAGGGGCCGCGGTAAAACACCGTGTATATAGCTCGCGAGTAGGTCAAACCTTTCGGTGCAAGACGGGGGGTGGTCCAGCAGGGTGCCCGGATCGTTGGCCCTTGCGTTTCCTTTCGCTGAGACAAACTTTGCAGTGACTCCTGTGGTGATCTCTTGGTAGGGTTGCCTGGCGGCGAGGTTCGTCCAGCAATTTGAAGTCGACCTTGCCTTGTGCAACTGTCTCGGGGTCCTCTAGATCTTCTCAATCTTTTTGGGCGTCCATGCTGGGCTGAAAAGGATCTCTCTCCGACTTTCGCTGATGGATATAGATCAAAACGAAGTACGCCAGGCAAGCAGGTTCAACAACTACCATGCGAGCCCCAGCTTCGACTTTCTTGAGCAGCTCCGGCGGTAGATCGTGCCAATGTTGTGCTACGGTATGGACGAGATGACATGAAAGCGACATCCCATGCTTCATTGGTGTCTCTCGGGTTCTGCCACACTCGCAATCTGTGCCTGTACAGTCAAGCCCCACCCAGACCCATAGAAGCAGCCAAGTGAACAGAACACGCATGCGCATGCTGCGCTTTGGAGCAGGTGTCGGAACCCTGAACACTCTGGCACGGGCCGAATATCTTCGAACGACACACAGAAGTGTCTACTCGATGCACTTGAGAGCCGCGGACTGGGACCCAAGCTCTGGTGGATCGGGCTGCTGCAACAGAGACAGACATGCATACATACAAATGACAGACAGACGACAGAAGCCCAGATAGACATAGATACGTACATACGTACATGCGTACACGTACATGCATACATACATAACATACCATAACATTTAATTACATTACATAACATTATATTACACTGCATGGCATTACATTACACTACATTACCATACATATATACGTACATACATACATACATACATACATACATACATGCATGCATGCATGCATGCATGCATGCATGCATGCATGCATGCATGCACACATAGAACTATAGGTATACATGTGCATATGCACTGATGCAAACGAATGAAGTGAAGGACTAGGCTCCGCAGTATGCAAGAAAATCCTATGCAAGTCCGGCCGAGAAACGAACTGCTCGCTCAAGAATCCACACGTCAGTCCGTCCAAGAAGTGCGAAGGACTTTGAAGCAGGAGCACCCTGGGGTCAGCATCAGCAGCATCAGAAGAAACCCGGTTCTCGTGCCGAAGCCCTAGGAAGAGATGCCAACGTAAGGCTCGATCCAAAAAGGGCCCCTGCGGCAACGGCGTCCCGGCCAGCCCCAACTGTGGGAGACAGCTCGAAAGACCATGCGAATCTCCGGTATACCCCCCCTCCCCCACACCCCCCAGTAGAATCCCAGGCTCACCTAGTGAGGTATCAAACGAAGCTCGCTCCGGGAGAGCTTTCGTGACTGAGAAACTGAATCCCAACTGCTCACGGACCTACTGGTAGCCCGGAGAGCAAGGGTAAAACAGGAGTCAACAGGAGTACACACCACGCCTGGCAAAGGAATTCGGAGGGAGAGTCCCCAGAAGTGCAGGGGAATGATCTCGTTCACTTTCAATGAGGAAATAGAAAGATGCAAGCGCAAGCGCTAGCTGAAGGCAAGATCAGTCCTCTGACGCCCTCCAGCAAATGCTGCCGCGCCGGCAGCAAGGGCTGCGACGGTCTGTGCGACGTTGTCCAAGCACAGCAGCACGCACAACATGCTACTGTCGGAAGCTGGAGTGCTTATTAAAGATAAGCGTACGAAGGATTCGTGCCTGGAGATTGCTCGACGAACTGCCGAGACTTGCCAGCGGCTTCTGGCTTGCGCTGGCCTTGACAGCTGGTACGTGAGCCAGTAGCAATTACTCTTATCTGTTCTTGCTAGTTCCTAGTTCTGCAGGAAAATGTATTGTAAGAGGCAGGAGCAATCGCGCTGGCGGCAGTAGTAGAGTTGTACTAGTGCTAATACTAGGACCAGCACTGGCGTAGTACTCGTGCTGGTGCTCGTACAAGTACTACCAGTACCCGTACCACCACTAGTACTCGCGCTAGTTCCAGAAGAAGAAGAAGTAGTAGTAGTAGTAGTAGTAGTAGTAGTGGTAGTAGTGGTGGTGGTGGTAGTAGTAGGAGTAGCAGTAGCAGTAGTAATAGCAGTAGTAGTGGCAAAAGCAGTAGCAAGAGCAGCAGCAGTGGCAGTAGCAGAAGCAGCAGTAGCTGCAACAGCAAGAGTAGTCCTAAAAGCATAGTGCTAGTAGGAGTCGTCGTCGTAGTAGTGGCAGCAGTCGTCGTAGAAGTGGTAGTAGTGGCGGCAGAGGCAGTGGTAGTGGCGATAGCAGCAGCAGCGAACCAGCACAGCAAGCAAGCTCTTCGTCCATGCCCTGAAACCGACTAGGATCCAGAGTCTGCTTCCTGGAACCAGGAAAGCACAACACAAATCACTAATCTGCTTCAGATGTGCACCGAAAGCTGACGACAAACCGAGTCTCCGAAAAAGATGTACTGCTTTGTCAAGCAGGTCAAGCACAATGCTCCAGGTTCGTCAGGTCTGAAGGTCACCCAAAGCATCTGCTTGCCTACACAGGACCTCTTGGGCCTCTTGGGATCAAACTAAGTCTACTTTACATCGCCGTTAGTCGCCAGGTTCGGTCTGAACAGGGCGGTAGCTTTATGGCTCTGGTGCAAGCCCTGAGGTTGGCTATCATCCTACGACCGGGAGATTCGCTCTCAAGCACATAGTCCCCGAATTTAGCTGTTGGGAAAGCAAAGGCAGACACCGGCTGTAGCCGTATGAGTTTCTCTGTGTCCCCGACGCTGTGGCCCGGGGCTTTTGCAGAAGCCACTAGGTCATGGCGAGCCACCTGCAGGCGAGGCCGTGCTTGCGTGCTCCCGACTGGCGGCCTGGCAGACTAAGGAAGGGACACTGGTGAAAGCTGTCTCGAGCGCCATGGTCCTGGGAATGGGGGCGTGGGTTGGCCTTGAAACCGTCCTGCCGCTTTGCAAGAGCTACCACTTCGGCTTAGAGCCCTCGCCCCCAGTTGTACCGGCTGACGCACGTTGGCCTGATCCTGCTAACCGTGTAGGTATGGATGGCTACTGTGCAGAACAGTTCGCGTCCAGTTGTGGCACTGGCCTGCAGGAGGCACAGCTACGTCGGTCCTTGCGAGGGTGACCCGCGTCTCCGTTTGAAGATGTGTTCCTTTGCACTTGTGGATCTCTTTGATGTCTGGCCTTTGCCTCTGCGAGTTTGATGCGATGGAATGCTCCGCTTGCACGGAGATGTTCGGTAAAACTGTCATCACAACTTCCGACGGGGGAATATGATAGTAGTCTGGCGATTGTAGCGCTGATTGTTGCAGGATCTATCGACGACCCTTTGCGAGAGTCGAGCGACGGTCCCATCCGAGCAATGCAGACTCGTGCATGGAAGTTCGGGGAAGTTCGAGATTGAATGCCCCGGCATCTAGGTCTTGCAGAATATCTGCTTGATGCACACGCTGGACGGAATCCATTGTCTAGCACTCATTTACATTAAGGTGTAATCTATGTTGTGTCTGTAAAGTAGATTTTGAATGCCAGTATAGCTCGGCTGTAATGCTGCAGTCTGACATCCTGCTGTAACCACTCTCAAGTGAAAACGATGGTCTCACCACAAGACCTGCTAGAAAGCTACACTAGCACTGCAATGCTGCGCCTGGGAGTGCCAATTGGCTCGGATCCCCGACCCCTACGCTGAGCAAATGTGCCGTTCGCAGTCCAAAAAAAGCATCAACAATACTGCAGCAAAGCAACTGCGAATGTCCCATGCATATCGCTGCATCTGGAAACTACATAATTAGTCATAGTTGCTGACATGCTGCTGGACAGTCAGATCACTCTGCCTTTTATGCATCTCTTCTCTAATGTGCTGCAACAGCTATGCAACGTCTGCACACAGGCAATAAATGCCAGGGCAAGACACTGGCATGTCACAAACCGACAAAACTGCAGTATTGAATTTCTTGCAGCTTCCCCAGACTGCACTGTCCGCTGTATCTTGTGAGGCAACACTAAGCCATGCACATTCCGCATGGTTGATATTGAACTGCACGAGCATCCAGCACAGACTAGAATCCAAGCATCGTGGACAGTGTGTCCCGTGCCACACCTCCTCACAAAGAATGTAAAGTAATCTGCACGGAACCTGCACAGCCTCACCTTGATCTTGCCGCTCAGAAGCCAAGAACAAAATGCAAAGCATCCGCGCGGCATGCCATCTGGTGATCCATGCAATGGATATAGCACGTTTTTGAAGGTTTGTCAGGCTGCGCCGAGACGGATCCAAACTCGGCTGCAATAATGGAAGGATTAAGCTTCCTAGCTGCTTTGCCTACTGCTTGCTTTAACCCAAAGCGCATCATCTCGACAGCCGAAGCCAAAAGGAAGACCAAAAGCAGCCGTCAAGCTGCTTCCAGCATGTCTCGAGCACGGCAGCGCTCGAGGATGCCGTAAGTCTATGTACAGGTGTGCCAGCTGCTCAATGGTGTCGATTCTAGTCTCCATTCCCCGTCATGTCGAGCATTGGCACAGTGAAACATAAGGTCGAAACTGCAAGTGTATTTGAGGCTTAGGGTGATGCTCAATGTCGTTCTACGGCGGAGTGTTCACATGGATAACATACATCTAACAATTATCGATCGATCCACCCATCCACTTATCCACCTGGTAATCTACCTACCGATCTATCTATCCAACCATCAACCTACCTGCCCATCTATCTATCTGTCAATCTGTCTATTTATCTATCTATACATACAGACATACATACGTACATACATACATTTATGAAATTTATGTATATACTATGTACACACACAGAGGAAGATGATCGATATTGCAATGGAAGAGCAAAGACAGCTCTCCTATAACAGAAATAGTCTGCAGCACGTAAGGACTGCAAACTTTGATTGATGTGCGTTCAAATCATTCAAAGCTGTGTAGCATCCAAAGTACTGGAGCAGCGCCCGGAGGATTGAATCCATAGATAGTTATCGCTGTGTCAGCCAGCGGAAAGCTCGCTGCAGGATGCCCATGGCCATCAACTGAACAGCGCGGCGGTGCGCTCCCGCAAGGACCCCGCGGAGAAGTCCCTTTGCCTGGCTCGAAACACCTCCTGGGACAAGCATTGCCAAACGAAGGGCGGCAGAGTCCAAGTCGCCGCGGTAGGAGTACCACACTGAGAGGACAGCGTGAGCAGCGTAGGCGCCACAACACAAGCCCACCAACATGCAGCTGGAACTGCCGAGCATGGCCGTGACACGGGGCGCTACTACGACTGCAATACCCAGCGGCAACGCATGGTCTCGCAAGGCCACGATGACAACGCAACATGCTGGTGGAGGAGCCACACGTACCAAAAACTCAGCAATTGGGTTTGCACTCTTCGATGGGGTGCATGCCACGGCCACACCCTTCAAAAGGAGGCATATGGTAGATGCCATCACCCGCTCGGCACCGATTAAGCGCAAGAGCACTTCACGGCGTGACAGCACTTCCACCAACCGCTGCTGGGAGATCACACTTATCAGGTTCATGCAGAAGATGACGGACTTCTCGTTGGCAAACAGGTGCGAGCGCTCTGCATCCAGTAGCCAAGCCATGGGACCCAAGATTCCCAGAGGTGTGCCTTGCTGAAGCCCTTCCCGCCAGAACCAAAGCTGGTCCACTCCGAAATCGATGATGAGGAGCACATACAACCAGGCTGCAAGAAAGCACACGGCTCGGGATGCCACGCGGATCACGAGCACTCCTCGCACGATCGCCCGCACGGTGACGCTCGCTGTCGACAGCTCGTCCTCACTGCAGACCAAGACAGCTGCATGCCCCGCACCGTTCTGACACTACGGCTCGCCCGTCAGATTCTCACATGCAGGACTGTGCAAGGAGGAGCATTCTCCCAATCCCTTTTCAATTCAAGCGTTCCCCGTCTTGACTCCCAGACAAAACCTGCACATTGGCATCCCGTGATGCACGTGGTCAAGCGCTATGATTCGGATATCAATCTTTAACGCATGTTCTCACCTTCTGCAGTCAGCCCAGCATGTAAGTAGCATTGCAGTAAGCCTAAATCGCAATATCAGAGCAGCTTATTACATGTCGGCATCATTTTTGGAAGTGTCATCTTCAATCGTGAGGCTCTTCACTCACGGTCAGATGTCATGTGGAAAACAGCATGCAATCACTACATAATAGTGCACTGGCATGTACATTGTTAAAGCACAGTGTGGAGTTCTCCTTTGGCCTCGGTGGAAATGCCCACAAGCAATCACATGCATCTAATCCCTAAGCCCATTGCACACATATGCATAGATGCTTCAGCGGCAGTTCGAAGAAACGTCTAAAGACACATGGCTCGCAATCTTTTGTGACCCGCATTCGTCACAGGCTCAAAGGGGCCCCCTGGTTCGAGCCGTAGGGGCCACGTGTGAAACATTTAGCTGCGAACTCGGGCATCCTATAGACGCCCTTAACAAAGCTGAAGCTGCATCCATAAAACCCCTTTCGAGCTAAATTTCACTCTCGGAGGTATGGATCCGCAGGCTCGAAAAGCTGTTCTACGTACTCGTCCCACTCAGGCGAGCTCGGTGACGTCGAAGCAGCAGCCTCTTGCAGCTCCTTAGCTCTGCGCAGCCTTTGCTGTTTCCTGGCGCTGACGAAGTCGTGGTTGAAACGTACCACCCAAGTCTTCCTCTCCAGGTAGGTGGCCGCCACCTTGAAGGCGTCCACTGTTGCCTTTGTCAGCGAGTCTGCCAGGTTGATATCGGAGGGAACCCACGTGAGGTAGCATCTGCCATCATCACGTAGAGCCTTCTGGATCGCAGCCACCTCCACACCAGTGCGGCTGTTTGCCATTCCTAAGAGTGGTGACTCAGAGCTGCTCACGGCATCGTAAAGTCCCCGGGAGTCCGTCACCAGGAGTGACTCCATCGACGATGCAAGTTGTACCGCATTCTTGCGGTTCAGCTCTTCTCCGTTCATGATCGCCCACAGTAGCCGCACTCGCCATCCGCGATCTTCCGCCTCGTAGAGTCCTTGGCTCTCTGTGGAGTTCGTTCCTTTAGCCGGGCGGTCCAGCTTCCAACTCCGCCAGTCTATGATAGACATCTTTGCCTCGGCTCCCTGAAGGATGCACGGCTCGGCGAATCCTGTAATGTATCCTCCTGTAGAGGACCCATCACCTCGGCTCTTGTGCCCCGCGTCACCAAAGTGAACGGCCACGATGTCCTTCCACGTGAGCTTCTCGTCCGCGGCCTTGCCGAAGTTGAAGGAGTGGAAGTACAGGTCCTCCTTCGCCGTCTTCTTCATCTCCTTCAGGATGCTGTTCGCCTCCTTCAGGTTCTGGACCCTTGGGTCCGTAAGTGCTGAGGCAGCGATGCCCACGCGAGCGCAATATTGGAACGCAGTTTGAACTGCTCTCCATTGAGCCTTCATGATGAGGCCACGGCATTGGCTGACCTCCTTCTCCGTCAGCGTGTGCTCAGCGCCGCGGTTGGCTTCCTCGGCAATCTCCACGGGTTGCAGCGCGTTGGAAAAGGTCTCTTGCGTGACCCTGATGGAGTGGTCCTTCAGTTGTTGGACCTCCAACCC